CTTTATTAGGATAATATCTTAATTAATGATATTATCTTATTAAATAAAGATAATATCATGTTAATTAAGATATTTATCCCAATTAATTAATTGGCCAGATAAACTGGTTCAATTAATTAATTAAAAGGGATAATCTTCTTTTCCACGTGGCGCGCTGTGATTGGAGACGAAAATATCTGCTACCACAGAATACTGACTTGAATTGTAGATAGAGTCATGCAGATTTGCAATGTCCTTTAGATAGTATTTCTCCTCTACCCTTGTGCTTGTAGTTCGATAGGAGTCTGTCCACCAAGATTAAAGTATCTTAAATCTAAGCCTAAGCACAGTGGCTTTGATTTCTGGCGAACAGTGGTATGAATTCTCTCAGGAAGTGTAAAATGTGAGAATGATGATGCAGTTCAAAGGTATCTATCTGGTTTAATCGTATTGTCATTATATAGAGGTCTGACACCTTTTCATCCAACAGTTATGTTAACTGTTTTAATTAATTCGAATTTCAGATTTTGGTTTTATCTGAAAAAACTGAATTTTCAATTAATAAAAATAAATTATTAATTAAATCAACAGAGCCCAAAAGCCCCAAGACCCATCTTTTGACAATTAATTATATATATATTTATTACACAAATATATATATAATCCAAGCTCAAACCATGTTGAGGCTCAAGTTTGCCTCCACTAGGCCCATACTCTATTTAGTAATTCTAATGTGTTGGTGCTTATAAACTATGGAAGAAAACTACTCTCTTCCAATGTGGGACTAAATGCAAGTGTATTTTCCTATACAAACTCTAACAATAAGATAACTAAATGTTGGTTCAAATTCATATTGAAGATAATTTCCTGCATTTGACAAACTGATCATGAAGAAATAGTGGACGTTTTGAGCATTTGACATCACGCAAACCACCTTTGTCTACCTGCAATCTGCCATAATTACATTAAATCATAATGGACAGATAAATTTCAGGGACAATGCATCTACATAGTAGATGGTTCTTCACAAAATTCATCCAAACCTGCCAGGTTTCTGTACTTAACCTTAGAAAGTAGCCTCACTTAAGTTCAAGGAAACACACTACACAGAAATCAGATTGATAATGAAGCTGTGTTTCCCTTTTTGTGTCATCTTCAAATTGCAAGATGTTTTTTTTCATAAGAAACCAGACCTGTAACCAAATAAAGAGGGACTTAACCAACTACTTGCTGATCTTCAGCGTATAACTCATCATAAATCAACATGAACCAAAGATCACATCTAAAACTAAAAACTAAACAGCAATCAATATGAAACATATACAGAATTGAAATTCTCATTTATTGCAAACCAAACTACATGGTTCAGTCCCATCACCTAAGCACAAGATTATCCAGAGATGGCATGTGTCAATGTATCAAAAGCTGGTCACCGTGATAACTTTTCATTGACAACACCTAAGCACACAATCATCAGTATATCCATCAGCTCACCACTCTATATAACACCAACATACAGCTACATCATATAACTCCAAATACTAGGACAATGAGAAGAATGAATTGACCACCAAAACATTTATGAAGTCAATGGAATTTCCCATGGCATTATAACTTAGCCAGTCTCTCCGTCACCTTAGTATGTACAATGTAAACAGCGAACATAGTTGTGGTTAGTTCAGATCAATGACCTCACTAGTCTGCATTGAACTCTGACATTTTCCATCACTAAACAAAGGGTCGAGAATGATCAATCTAAACATCATGACATTATCACCATCAAGGTAACCTTTTTTTTCCATCTCAAATATGGCCTCCACTACCTCAGGTGGATAGACCCATTTCTTAATGTAAATTCCAATTCAATACTACCAAGCAAGTTAGCGAATTAATTATGATTTTTGGAAGTCAAAACATTGTAAAATAGTAATAATTAGAAGAGAATGACACATGGCAGTGTGTGATGGCGGGGTCCTCAGCTTTTCCAACAGGTGTCAGTATCTCATAGCGCCACGTGTCATTAATGTTTTATTTTTGTGAGTTTATCTTAAAAAATTAACGAAAAATCATAAATAAATAAAACAGAAAAATACACCGAAAATTTCTACATATTCCTTGCAACATTATCTTCGACTATGATACTTGAAAATCAAAATTTGACTTTGAAAATTTGAAGTAATAATTGGAGGAAGAGTTATACTCATGAAGACTAATGATCTTCAACTTATTGTTATTGTTAGTATGGAAGCAAACTTGATTTTGTGAAATTATTTGAATTTTTCCCTTAGTCAAAATTATATTTTAAATCTCAAAAGATGTTGGAAATGTTGCAAGGAGTTCTTTGGATGAATTTTTCAAATTTATTATGATTTTTGGAAGTCAAAATATTGGAAAATAGTAATAAATAGAAGAAAATGACACATGGCAGTCCCTGATGGGTGAGTCATCAGCTTTTCCAACGGGTGTCAGTATCTCATAGTGTCATGTGTCATTAATGTTCCATCTTTGTAAGTTTATCTTAAAAAATTCACGAAAAATCATTAAAAAATCATAAAAAGACACCGAAAATTTCTACATATTCCTTGCAACATTATCTTCGGCTATGATACTCAAAAATCAAAATTTGACTTTGAAAAATTTGAAGTAATAATTGGAGGAAGAGTTGTACTCATGAACAGGGGCGAATCCACAAAGGAGCAAGGGTGGTCAATTAACCCCTGCAACCTCTGAAATCCTCCATTAGAGCAGCCGAAGTTGACCCTCGCAAAGTGTTCGATGAAATGCCCCAAACGGGCAAAGCTGTGTCTGTGCACAGATGGAGGAGAAGAAGCGCAGAGTAGCGCGCGCCTTGTTTTTTTTTTCTTCGCTCGACGTCAAAACGACGTCGTTCCACTAAAGCTTTTTTTTATTATTATTTTTTTAAATTATACCAAAACGTGCACGCCTTCTCTTTCTTTTTTTTCTTTTTTATTTTTTTATTTTTTGGTTCGCTCGACGTCAAAACGACGTCATTCGACTAAAGGCTTTTTTTATATTTTTTATTTGGTTAAACCTGGCCAAAACGATGTGCACAGGTTAAAAAAAAAAAAATCAAAAGCAAAATAGCGCAGGAACCTGCTCTGTTCTGTTTTGCCCGATAATTCCCCCCTCCCCAAATGTTAAAACTCATTTCTTCTCACCTCTAAACCTCTCAACCCTAAATCCCCAACTCAACCTTCACTTCCTTTCCCCACAAATCAGGCAGCGACTCCAGCAAAGTGGCGCAGCAGCAAATTACATAAGTGATTTCAATTTTCAAAGGTGGATTTGTCCCTCAAATTTGAAAGTATGTTATTCTAATTTCTTTATACTTTAATTAATTAGTAAAGATTGTTATATGTTTGTGTTTTTCTTGAATAGTTGTTATTGTTTGTTGTTGAGATTTTATTTTGGTTAGTTAGTTTGAATAAATTAGGGATTTTGGTTTTAGTTGGTTAGTTTGAATAAATTTGTCACGCCCCGAACCTGGGGGTCGGTGGAAACCCCACGCTCGGTGCGTGATAAAAAAATAATAAAATAAAAGGAAGATGAAACATGGTTTTAAAATAAACTTCTCTTATAAAAATAGCTCAAAATCTTACAATTTTACAATAAATAAATAAAGCTCTAGTACTCTCATCTAATTCAGCCTCAACCGTAGCTCCCAAAATCTTACAACTTTACAATAAATAAACAAAGCTCTACTACTCTCATCTAATTCAGCGTTAACTTGTTTAGTCCTCGTCTTGCCCACTAATTCATCTAAAAAATTAAACAGGTTGAGGGATCAGCAACCACCGCTCAGTAGGAACATGAGACCTTACCACGGTAGATTGATATAACTAAATTAAGTGACATGCATTCATACATCCAAAATATCACATAAATAATAATGCATGAATGTTCTTCATCTAATCTCGTTAATTCATATAATTGGACAAGCAGACATGCACGTCTCATACCATGCTTATACCACTTGGTCCCAAATGCCCATTTATATGAACTAACACCCAATTCAACTATGCCATATTTTCCCTTTTGTTAGTCATCCTGTCTAACTCCCTTTAGCCAGTCTCAAATCACCCAATAAAAACCATGTGCACTGTGGGATCCCTGAGACCTAGTACCTGCCAAAAGTAGACTCAACTACACAAAAGATCCTTCCTATTACCCTCTTTTCCATCATTATTTTCTCAATCCAACAACTCCAACGATGATATAATTATGCCTTCCATGTATCTCACAACAATGTAACATTTAAACATCACCCATGTACATATAATCATATCACGCATAATATAGTGCTCACAAAATTTAATTAGATCAATCCCTACCTCGATTCCAAAGCATTTCTCCAAGTTAAGAAAATACAAGCTAAGTCCTATATCTCTTCCAAGAATTTCATCATCACCTCTCTCTCTCTCTCTCTCTCTCTCTCTCTCTCTCTCTCTCATGTTTTGAAACTGTAAGGTTATGCTCCTATTTATAGTAGTTATATAAATAGGATAAACTTCAATATTAAAAGGATAAGAACATCCAAGTTTATCCAAAAGATAAATATCCTAACAAGATAAGATCATCCAAGTTTATCTAAAAGATAAATATCTTAAAAAGATCATATCATCCAAGTTTATCCAAAAGATAAATATCTTCTTTTATCTACTTAAAATACGGGTCTTCCCAAAATTAGGGTTTTATTTTTATGTTAGATTATATCTTGGCTTGTTTAAATAAATTAGGGGTTTTGGTTTTGGTTAGTTAGGTTGAATAAATTAGGGTTTTACTTTTATGTTAGATTATATCTCATGGTTTGTTTGAATAAATTAGGGGTTTTGGTTTTGGTTAGTTAGTTTGAATAAATTAGTGTTTATGTTAAATTATATTTTGGTAAATTTGATTAGTTGTTGAGATTTTATTTTGGTTAGTTTGCATAAGTTAGTAATTAATTAATTTTTTTTTTTAATAATGTTGACGCTTGAATGATTATTTCTACCAATTCAGTTATGGAACGCTACTTTAAGAGAAGGTTCGCATCAACTACTTCTAGTTCGGATAATGTGGGTAGTTCGAGTTTGATAGATGTGGGTATTTCAACATATGTGGATAGTTCGAAAGAAAGTGGGTTGCAAGATATCTTGGCTAATCTTATTGCAGACCTTGGACTTCGACCTCAAATGTTGGATTATGATCCTAACATTCGAGACGAAGTTCGAAGAGCATATCTACAAAAGGGTTCATGTCAGCCTAAGGATCACACATTTCCACAAACTGATCTTTCAGGGTATGATCGATGCTTTAATGTCAAGTGGTTTGATGAGTTTGACTGGTTGGAGTACAGTATTAGTAAAGATACTGCTTTTTGCCTTTATTGTTATCTCTTCAAATCCAATTTCAGAATTGGTCAAGGGCGTAATAACGCCTTCACTGAGATGGGTTTTAGGAATTGGAAGAAAGATAAAATTAGGCAACATGTTGGAGCTGTTGGAAGTGTTCATAATCAATCTACACAATATTTGTGGATCTTATGAATCAAAAGCAACACATCCGAACAGTTTTGATAAAGCAATCAGAGCAAGCTCGTATTGATTATCGTATTTGCTTGACAGCTTCTCTTGATTGCGTGAGATGTTTGTTGAGGCAAGGTCTTCCTTTTCGTGGGTATGATAAAAGTGACACTTCAAGCAACAAGGGGAATTATTTGGAGCTCTTCCAATTTCTTGCTGATCATGATGAGAAAGTAAAAGCCGTTGTGTTAGAAAATGCTCCCGGGAATCTCAAGTTAATAGCTCCAACAGTTCAAAAAGATCTTGTGAATGCTTGTGCCACTGAAACTATTAAGAAAATCATTAAGGATATGGATGGTGCATTCTTCTCTTTATTAGTTGATGAATCATGTGATGTGTCAGTAAAAGAAAAAATGGCGGTGATGTTTCGTTATGTAGACAAAATGGGGATGTAATTGAGAGGTTTATGGGCATTTAACATGTTAGTGACACTACGTCAAACTCACTGAAGGAGGCTATTGACACATTGTTTTCAAGAGAGGAATTGTGCATTTCCATGCTAAGAGGACAAGGATGTGATGGAGCTAGTAATATGAAGGGTGAGTTCAATGTTCTTTAAACACATATTTTGAGAGAAAATCTTTGTGCCTACTATATTCATTGTTTTGCACATCAACTTCAATTAACTCTTGTGGCCGTGGTAAAGGGAAATGCTGATATTGCCACTTTCTTCACATCTTGCAATAGCTTGGTTAATATTGTTGGAGCATCGCGTAAGCGTCGTGACATGCTTAGAGATCAACTCCAAAAGGATGTTACAGAAGCTCTTGAAAAAGATACTTTTCCAACAGGGCAAGGCTTAAATCAAGAAACTTGTCTCAAGCGTCCTGGTGATACACGTTGGAACTCACATTATGGTACATTACTTAGTATCATCTCCATATTTAAATCTGTGGTGAAAGTGCTTAAATTGATTATTGAGGATGGCTCGACTGATAATCTAGGTGAAGCAAATAGGTCATTGAGAGAAATACAATCTTTTGAGTTTGTATTTCAATTATTTTTCATGAGATCTACATTAAGAGCTACAAATGACTTGTCACAAGCATCATTGGGAATGCAATGACTTTAGTCAAAGTTTGCAAGGACCAACTACAACACATGAGAGAGGATGCATTTGAAGCCTTGCTTGACCAAGTATCTTCCTTTTGTGTCAAACATGATATCTTGGTTCCAAACATGGATGATGTATATGTAGCTCAATGGAGATCACATCGAAGAGCTCCTAGAATAACACACCCCCATCATTATCGTGTGGACATCTTTATTCAAATCATTGAGTGGAAACTTGCGGAATTAAATCATCGCTTCAGTGAGGTAAATATTGAGTTACCTATTTGTTTGACATGTTTGAGTCCGGATAATTCATTCATAGCTTTTGACAAACAAAAGCTACTTCGTTTTGCTGAATTTTATCCTCAAGATTTTAATCCCCGAGATCTCTTGGCACTTGAAGATCAACTTAAGATTTATATTAATCATATGCGTACGATGATTGATTTTTCTCAATTGAAAGGGATTAGTAGCCTTGCAAGAAAAATGGTGGAGAAAGGGTTGCATAGAACATATAATTATGTTTATTTGCTTCTCACATTAGCCTTAACTTTACTGGTTACAACTGATTCTGTGAGGAGATCATTTTCTGCTATGAATATCGTGAAAGGTCCACTTCGCAACAGAATGGGAGATCAATGGTTGAGTGATAGCTTACTTGTTTATATTGAGAAAGATGTGTTTGCTTGTATTGATAATGAAACTATAATGTCACATTTTCAGAATATAAAAACTCATCGTGGACAATTGTAATGTGGTTTTTTCTATTAGTGATGAATTAAAATATTATCGTTTCATTTCTATGGGTATATTTTGTATAAATTTTTTTTAACCTTTAGAGGTTGACCCCTGGAAGGAAATTTCCTGGATCCACCACTGCTCATGAAGACTAGTGATCTTCAACTTAGTGTTATTGTTAGTATGGAAGCAAACTTGGTTTTGTGAAATTATTTGAATTTTTCTCTTAGTCAAAATTATATTATAAGTCTCAAAAGATGTTGGAAATATCGCAAGGAGTCTGGGGTATTTTTTTTTTGTGAATTTTTCAGATTTATTATGATTTTATTATGATTTTTGGAAGTCAAAATATTGAAAAATAGTAATAAATAGAAGAAAATGACACATGGCAGCGCCTGATGGGTGCGTCGTCAGCTTTTCCAACGGGTGTTAGTATATCATAGCGCCAGTATCATTAATGTTTCATTTTTGTGAGTTTATCTTAAAAAATTCACGACAAATCATTAAAAAATCAGAAAAATACACCGAAAATTTCTACATATTCCTTGAAAAATTATCTTCAACTATGATACTCGAAAATAAAAATTTGACTTTGAAAAATTTGAAGTAATAATTGGAGGAAGAGTTGTACTCATGAAGACTAGTGATCTTCAACTTCGTGTTATTGTTAGTATGGAAGCAAACTTGGTTTTGTGAAATTATTTGAATTTTTCTCTTAGTCAAAATTATATTTTGAGTCTCAAAATATGTTGGAAATATCGCAAGGAGTCCGAGTATTTTTTGGTGAATTTTTCAGATTTATTATGATTTTTTGAAGTCAAAATATTGGAAAACAGTAATAAATGGAAGAGAATGACACATGGCAGGTCCTGATGGGTGAGTCATCAGTTTTTCCAATGGGTATCAATATCTCAGCGCCATGTGTGATTTATGTTTCATTTTTGTAAGTTTATCTTAAAAAATTCACAAAAAATCATTAAAAAATCAGAAAAATACACCAAAAATTTCTACATATTCCTTGCAACATTATCTTCGACTTTGATACTCGAAAATCAAAATTTGACTTTGAAAATTTTGAAATAATAATTGGAGGAAGAGTTGTACTCATGAAAACTAGTGATCTTCAACTTAGTGTTATTGTTAGTATGGAAGCAAACTTGATTTTGTGAAATTATTTGAATTTTTCTCTTGGTCAAAATTATATTTTAAGTCTAAAAAGATGTTGGAAATGTCACAAGGAGTCCGGGGTATTTTTTGGTGAATTTTTCAGATTTATTATGAATTTATTATGATTTTTGGAAGTCAAAATATTGGAAAATAATAATAAATGAAAGAAAATGACACATGGCAGAGGCTGATGGGTGCTTCATCAGCTTTTCCAATGGGTGTCAGTATCTCATAGCACCACGTGTCATTAATGTTTCATTTTTGTAAGTTTATCTTAAAAAATTCATGAAAAATCATTAAAAAAAACAGAAAAATACACCGAAAATTTCTACATATTCCTTGCAACATTATCAAATTTGACATTGGGAAATTTGAATTAATAATTGGAGGAAGAGTTGTAGTAATGATGACTAATGATTTTCAACTTAGCGCTAGTATTAGTTTGGAATCAAACTTGACTTTGTGAAATTATTTGAATTTTTCTCTTATTCAAAATTATATTTGAAGTCTCATATGATGTTGGAAATGTCACAAGGAGTTCGGGGATCTTTTTTAGTGAATTTTTTAAATTTATTATGATTTTTGGAATTCAAAATAATGAAAAATAGTAATAAATAACAGAGAATGACACATAAGAACAGTGCGTGACAGTTGCATCGTCAGCTTTTTCAATGGGTGTCAATATCTCGTAGTGCCACGTGTCATTAATATTTTATTTTTGTGAATTTATCTTAAAAAATGAAAGAAAATTCATTACAAAAATCAGAAAAATACACCAAAATCTTCTAAAAATTCATTAAAACATAATCTTCGACTCTGATGCAAGAAAATCATAATTTAAAATTGGAAAATTTGAAGAAATAATTGGAGGAAGAGTTATAGTGATTAAGAGTGATCTTAACTTAGTGTTATTGTTAGTAATGAAGCAAACTTGAATTAATTGTTTGGAATTTGTTTAAAATCAAACATTTAGTATCATAATCGAAGATAATGTCGCATGGAATTTGTAGAAATTAAGGTTGGATTTTTTCAATTTTTTAATTAATTGTTTGAGAATTTTTAAAGATAAACATATACAAAATGAAACTCTGATGAGACGTTGCGCTGCGCAAAATGATGCTCGTTAGAAGCATTGATGACGCACTTTCATTAAATAGCAAAAAAATACACACCCCCAAAAATTCTACAAAGTCAATGTGAAACTTTCTATGTCTTTTGAGTTCATCTTAAAATATTCATAAAAGTCCTAATGAAGACTTCTTAGTTAAAAAATAAAAATAATATTATGAAGCTTTAGTGAATAATAAATGAAGATATATGCCTTTTGAATTGTTTACGAAAGATATTTTGGTGGCAAACAAGTAATGATGTAGCATTGCAATTATGGCTTGTGTCATTTCTCTATTATTTGTAAAATTTATAATTTTTAAAAATTATAAAAATATGATGTTGAAGCTCTAGTGAATCCTTTGAATCGTTTATGACCCATATTTTATTGTGAATTTTAATCTTGATGTTTATCTATAGAAATTGCTTGATTACAAGATTGTACACCCCTATGTGAAACATAGTTCAAACCTAGATTCCATTTTATACCTACAACATACAAAGTTTACATAAGATATACTAAAAATATTACGAAAACATGAAGATACAGACCTGTTACCCATATCCATACTACTCACACTATCATCAACACATTAAGATACAGAAATGATATCTACTAACACTATTGTCAATACATTAAGATACAAAATGATATCTACTAACATTATTGTCAACACATTAAGATACAAATGATACCTACTAACGCTATTGTTAATACATTAAGATACAGAAATGATACCAAATTGGAGGGGGAAAACAAGCCGCATAGAGAAGGAAGTAGAGCATTAGAGAGCCACATAGTAGACAAAAATCCACAATCATGGGTTTATTATAACTTTGAACTCTAGAAACTGCTTTTTTATTTTCATTATCAAACAAAAATAAAAAGGTGTCAAATTTTCTTTTATATGTTTTCCTATAGTCACAACAATCTCATTCTGTTCTCTTATATCTGTCACAAACCTAAACACCACCAACTACCACCTATAATTAGTCAAACCATGGACCTCATTTCGACTGAGGAGAACGACCTGAAGGACTGTGATCTTACTACTTGATTATTTTATAAACAGATAACCAATGAGCTCATACCAATAGTGGAAAGAGGAGATTAAGCTCTACAGGATCCTAATATTAACGTTTTATATTTTACTTTCAACACATGAAATACACCTAGATCAAAGATTCAAATGATTTACTGAAACTAAAACACAAAACCTGGAAATTTCAGAGCTTTGCTCTGAATCTGTACATCCATACATAGTCCATACACACAAATGCATACACATGGAAATTTGATATAGAAAATAAACCTCAAAGACCCTTGCTATAGAAAATCATGTAAGACTGAAAAATAAAGCAGATATAGTCTTTAGGAAACTCACAATACCTCTTGATCACTTAGGCCATCTCCAGTCATGGGCTATATCCCAAATATAGCCCTAAAATAATGCAAAACTCATCTCCAGCCATGGGCTAAACAAAATTTTGCTTTAGCCCTCCAACCGGGCCACATTTAGCCCAGCTTTGGCCTAGTCCTAGGCCAAATTTTTTGTGGGCTCCATGCATGTACTTTTCATTGATGATGTCAGCTGGATATATATATATATATATATATTTAAAAGCCTTTTTAATTAGTAAAAAAATTATAAAAAAATATTGGTCATGACCATTGGATGTCAAACCATTGAAACCCATCCTTTAAAAATAAAAATAAAAATGTAGTCACCTTTTCAAATGTTTTAAGTGTTGTTTAAAAAAATTATAAAAAATTCTTGGTCATGGAATATTGTCTCTAAATAGTAGTTTAATTAAATTAAACAATACATAGTTGTGGAATGTATGTGTTGTATCATAGTTTTTCTCAAAATAATAAAATATGAAAGACCCTAAAATATAGCCCTGCATGGTTGGAGATGGAAAAATTTAGCCCTATACTATTCTTTAAAAAATTAATATTTTGGAGGCCTAAATTTTTAGCCATGGACTAAATTTAGCCCT